GTGACGAGGTGGGGATCAGTCACAGGTTGAGCTCGATGATCTCAGAGGTCTTTTCTGACTTGATTGATTCTGTGATTCCACAGTGCATCCTGTCTCGCCCTGGGTAGCATCACTCCTCCTGCCAAAATCCCACTGCTCTGTGGCAGATGGGAATTCCCACAACATCCTGTCCTCATCCTGTGAATGTGCCTTTAAAACCCCTGCTGTGTTTCATCCTGAGGCCAGATGTTTAATACTCTTCAAAATCTCCTTTTTCTTTTTGCAGTAAACTTCTTGCTACTGAGACCTAATTGTTCATATTGCACTGCAGGATTAAATTAATTCTTGACCAGTTTTCATTGCCTTTCAAACTGTTCCATTTGTATAGCTTTGCTCTAGTTTTCTGTATTTACCACTAGCCAAAAAAAGGTCAATTTTCTCTGGCTCTAGGAAAAGTGAAATAAGAAGTGGTATACACATATATGCAAACCGTTAGCAAATAACTTGGAAATAGGTTTGTGGTGTGATCTGTTTTTTGTTTTGTCTTTCAGTTTTAAATTGAAGAGAAAATGTCACTTTATGATGACTTGGGGGTTGAGACCAGCGATTCCAAAACAGAAGGCTGGTCCAAGAATTTCAAACTACTGCAGTCTCAATTGCAGGTGAAGAAAGCAGCTCTCACACAAGCAAAGGTACAGTCCCTTTGTGGTTTTGCTTTCTGTTTTTCAGACTTCTTTTGTGTTCAATGTATTGTGTTTGTGATCTCAGAATACTGATTTGGGGTAATCTTGCTGGCATTTGTGTGTGAGTTTGTAGCAAAGATCCTGGCAAAACTGAAGGGGGAAAAGGGAAAATGCATTTTTCTTGGTGTCTCTTAGAGGGAGTGTTGCAAAATTAAAACTCAAGGAAGCCGTGATGTATGTGCCACAAACCTCTGAGCTTTTAACCAGCAGAGCCAAAAGCTAATCTCCAAATTTAGCTTTAAAGATAGCAAGCTTTATAAGTATTTTTTAATGTAAGTAGGGGTCTATTTACATGTTTACATTATTTTATGTTTGTTATTTAAAAGGCTGTTGGTGCTAAGCTGCAAATTATTATGTATTAGAAATTTTTACAGCAAGTATTTCCACAGTAGATGAAAGGGAGGAGTGCAAGTTGATTCTTATTAGACTGTGGCAGAGCCATTTTCTCTTTTTATTGCTGCTTCTTTTTCTTTCACCCTTTTTCTTTGAGCAGGGCTGATATTTTGGTTCAGGCAGGACACAGGTGCTTTTTGGGCTGTGTAGGTTCTGTAGTGAGACTATTTAATTAAAAGAAGAAGCAGTAGCAGTGATGCCAGATACCTAAGTAGCCACAGAATATTTTTTCACTGGAGTTACTCCTGATTTGTACTGTTGAAATTGAGGGCAGGATTTAGTTGATGATTGGCACAAACTGCCTAATGAAGTTTACTGACTGCTGTATTAGTTATATCCTTTGTCCATGTAACTGATGTGTATCCTTAGCCTAACAGAAGAATAGGATAGGATTAGAAAACTCAAAAGTTCAGAAGAGATTAAAATATTTTATTTAGTGATAAATGGGAGGAACAGTAGGTCTTTGGAATATGTCTGAATTTCTTAGAAACTAACTCAGGTCAAACTCAGCTGAATTGATTGGGTGAATTTTTAATGCATTTCTGGTCCCAGTCGAAACCTAGGATGATTCACTTAACACGGCAAAGTATATCGAGTAAGTTGATTTTTAGAAAACTGCTTTATCTTTTTTAGACATTGTGTGTTTTGGCGGTTTTTACAGAGTCAGAGAACAAAACAAACCACAGTCCTTGCTCCAGTGATTGACCTAAAACGAGGTAGCTCCTCTGATGAGAGACAGATCGTGGACACACCCCCTCATGTAGCAGCTGGGCTAAAGGTAAGAGCAGAGCAGCTAAAAGTGCAGCTGTTAACAAATATTTTGGAAGTTGAATGTTTCCTAGTGGTCAAAAAAGTGATTATTTTCTGAGAATGTCTTCCTCTGCTGAGAGTTCTTTAACTAACATTACAACTTCAGACTTCCATGTGATACAGCGTGGAATTACCATGGTTAATAGGCAGTTTTAAAACAGTGTTCTTAGAATCCTGGACAGCTTCAAATTACTTGGCAAGACAACAATTTGGGCAGCTAAATAATTACTATAATTGTGATTGCATCACTGTTGGAACTGGACCTGTATAACAATCAACTGAAAAATAAAAGAAGAGACACCTAACCTTTTAAATGGATTTTTCATGGTAAGGAATCAAGAGAAACCCCCTTCCTGCAGCTTTTTCAAATAAAAGGTTCTGAAATGGTTCTTTCAGATTAGAGGAGAACAGTCTGTGTGCCTCTGTTGGTATTATATCAATAGCAGTTGATAAAAAGCCTGATGAGATTGTGTGGGAGGACCCTGGCAGATGGTTGCAGCAGCAAGATGCCATAAAGCTTCCAAAAATGTATTCGTGGGGTTTGAAAAATTCCTGTCCATACTGATTTGCTGCTGCTTTGCATTTTGCAAGAGGAGGGGGTGGTTCCTTCTTCGTGGGAAAAATTTGATGTAATGAGAGACTGGATGAAATGTTTGTTTTAAATAAAGCCAAGTTTCTTCTAGCACCCGTGGGATTAGGATATTACCTGACATCACAGAAGTCAAGAATCTGAAGTGTTAAATTTTTGCTTTCTGACTAGGTGTTGTTTTCAGATCTCAGCTAATTTTTTTTTTTTTCAGGATCCTGTCCCTAGTGGTTTTTCTGCAGGAGATGTGTTGATTCCCCTGGCAGATGAGTATGACCCCATGTTCCCAAATGACTACGAGAAGGTGGTGAAACGTCAGAGAGAGGAACGGCAGCGGCAGCGGGAGCTGGAGAGGCAAAAGGAGATTGAAGAGAGAGAAAAGTAAGGCTTTTGTTTAAATACTTGTCACATTGACTCTTATCTAAAGAATAGATATGACAATTTGTTTAATTTTACCTCTCTGTTTTCATGGAAGTTCTTAGAGATTTTGTGAACACTGCATGCTTGTAGAAGCAAGTGCAGTGTTTTACTTAAGTTTTAATGCTCTTAGTAGAAAACATCTAACAGTGCAAAAACAATAAGAATTATCAGCTTTGCAGCCTATTCAGCTAAAAGACCTTTGTCAAAATTATTCTGAATTTACTTTGTTTCAATGATAGCAGCAATATCTGGATACTTCATGATTGTTATCAGACTTTGACCTTGCAGATGTTTCAGAGTACTTGATATCAGTGTCACCTGACTACAGAAAAGCTTTTTCCACACTCAGTGATGAACCATCCTTTCTGCTTCTAAAAACTACAAACTGATCTATGACTGCATTAAGTTTTAAATGTAGCTAGCACAGCCTTTGAGAAGCATAGTTGCATTTCCTTTTTTAATCCCCTGCAATCAGTAATTTAATATAAAGTAAGTTAATTATGTGTTTTTTAATCTATTGTCTCTGGACAAAAGAAAATACTATTTTATTTTAATGCCCTTTCCCTGAAATAAGAAATCTCTATAATCCTGTTAAGGAAGTTGAATGCAGATTCCATAAGCAGTAAAACGTCTGCCAGCCAGGCAGAAGATTACATTTGCTCATTTCAAGTGAAGTGAACAAACCATTTTCATCACAGTATGAATCATCTGAAGTCTGGAATTATAGTTCTGCTGCCCTGTTTAGATTGTGGAAATTAATATTTGTAGTCACTGGGTCTTCTCTGTCTTCTCTTGTTATATCTTTTGATGGAGAAGGAATACCTGAGGCTCTTCCCTGCTGGCATGCAAGACCTCAGGAATCTGGGATGTGATTCCCACAGCTTCAGCATTGACTGCTCTTTGGTTGTATTTGTACTTGTGTGTGGGCCAGGAGTCTTTATACATATAAACATTAGAGAAAAGAGGTGAAAAATGTGTACTAAATTCTGATTTCAAACGGGGGAAACAATATCAGCCAAACCTGCATCAGATGTGTGCTTTGGGAGTACAGGCCATACATTTGTTCTGATTTCACAGTGTAGAGATTCAGAAAGTGGTTCCACAGTAGAGCTGTTTTTATCATCTTTTAGCACAGTTTGGTCGCTATGCTAAGAAAAAGATCTGATTTGTGCACTAGGTGGTGCTCTAACTTTTGAGGAAAATTGCTTTTCCTTTTTGTTGTATTAAAATGAGTAATTTCTTGATCACATCAGATAACAGCAAAAGTGAAAACAAATCTTGAAGCATTCCTTACTTCACATTAGAAGTTATTCCTAAATCTTACTATAATTGCCAAGCAAGCTTCTTAACAATCTGATGTTTAAGCATGAGGCTTTTTTTTATTGAGTAAATGATATTACTCTGTATAGCCTGTGATGGGAAATGTAAAAGGGATTCTGTCCAAAGCAGGGTGATTGATTAAATAATGTCTGTTACCTTGCTCTCTGTTCTATCCAACACCTGTTCCACTGTTGTCATTCAGTCACGCTGGTCTGTTTGGATAAAATTTATTCAGGTGCTTCCTCCTTTCCTTGCATTCTTTTTAGCTGACTTGCAAGTGAAAAATGATCTTGGTTTAGATCCACCTTCTGTTTTACCAAAAATGTCCCATGAGTGTAAAAGCAAAGAAACAAATGGTGAGGGTATTAACTTGCACTTTCATGGGAAACATGTTAAATGTCAGTTGGATGGAGCAGAATAACTCGCCCTGCAGAGGTGAGATCACAAATTAAAACAAAGAGTTGACTTCCATGGTTTCTCATGCTAACTTGCTGTGTCTCCTAGAAGGCGTAAAGACAGACACGAAGCCAGCGGGTTTTCAAGACGACCAGACCCAGATTCTGATGAAGATGAAGATTATGAAAGGGAGAGAAGGAAAAGAAGTAAGGGAACTGCTTATGGTTTTGGTGTGGAAAGAGGAGAAAGAGAGGGAGGGAAATTCACAGTCCTAGTTCATGGATTCTATATTTCTGTGTCCTCACATGAGTACACTGTCAATTCTGAGCCTTTAGAATAAATCTGGGATTTTATTATAACATAATACAATGGAGAAGACTGGTATTTTTCTATGGAGGCATATGGCAGCCAAATTGCTTGTGGAACTACCTGTGTTCAACCTTAGTTTGTAGATACCTGGTGGAAGTTCCTGCATGGTGTAGGTTCCAGGGAAGGGGTGAGGCATAACATAAAATCACTGAGCAAATCAGAGTTTTCACTATTGTGCCTTTTAATTCCTGCATTTGTTACATCAGTGCCCTCAGAGCTTGTCAGGTGATATGGATCGGAAATACGTCTTTGCATAAACAAAATTAGTCTTTATTATCTTCCAGCAACAAAGTTACAATAAATAATTCACATCTGTTGTGATATCCTCCCAATGTGTTGTGTTCCGTTTTGCTCATAGGTATGGGAGGAGCTGCCATTGCACCGCCCACTTCTCTCGTTGAGAAGGACAAAGAGCGTGAGTACTCCAAAATCCTCTTCTCCAAACCCAGCAGTGTTAGTTTTTTTACTCAACTTTTTATTTAGTTAAGTCCTCCTGCTTTTCCCATTGCAGTCTTTGTAGCAGCAGGACATGAACAAGTTGTTTGTTCGGGGGGGAGGCTGTGGGGGACCTGTGATGCTGCCCTGTTTCACATCTCTGTTCTGAAGAAATCTTTCTGCATTGCTGTACAAGTGACTTGGCAAACTGGGCTCTTCCAACCATGTGCAGCTACTCACTTCTGATATGCAAGAAGAAATGTCACAAGCAGGTTTCTCTGGGTAGACTAGAAACCTCCACACTGTGTAGAGAGAATTTTTCCATTGCTCTTTCCTTGAGGAGGTACTTAGTGAATATCTTTCCTAAAGGAATTATGCACTAGAGACAATTTTTTAAGTCTTTCAGGGATGCAGTTTAGCTGACGAGATTTGTGTGCAGTGGTAGTGAGGATCTCAGTTGTCCACAAGATGGCATCATTTTGCTATAGGAACAAAACCATTACCTTTTTTTTTTCATGTTTAACTGCTGTAAATTTTAGGATTTAAAATAATTACCAGTATGTTGTCTACTTTCGAAAATAATAATAAGAAAAAATCCTATGCACACAAACTATGCTTTGGGAGTCCTCATTGTATTTATGAGAGGATTAAAATGTAAAAAATACCTCAAAGCTTAAATGTATGATACAGTGAAAGCATTTGACACATATAAACATTCAAAACTGGAAGACATTGTTTTGAGTATATAATTAAGAGCAATTGATCAGTGTCAAGGAAAAGTAAATACAGGATGGAAATAGTAGAAATATCCTTAAGGGGAGAGCTTTTAAAACATGACATGGTCCCACAAAGAAGCCTTTGTATAGCTTCTCACTTGATGCTCAATTCCAGGCTGGAAGAAAATAAGAAAATATTTGTTTAGCAAAAGTCCCATAGTCCAGTCCATCTGCTGTTTAAGTAAGAATTATTTTTCCTCATATTATATCCTCAAACTTCGTGTCTGACTTTTTATTGGATAAGATACAAGAGCTAGTGTACAAGAAAATATACTAAAATTAAGTCAGTCTGGTAAAAGTCCTTAAGTCCATTAAAAAAGTGATTTTTTTCTAATGTTCTAGTAGGCTTTTTTTTTTCAATTTGCTGTTTGACTTGTCAGTGGAAGGTGATTTAATAATCCGACCAGTATGATTGAGAATCCAGATCCATCTCCATCCGCAGGAAGAGCTGCAGTTCAGAAATTCTCAGTGAGATGAGTTGCATTCATTCTTTTTAATAGACTTTTTAATATGGTTTCTCTTCTCTGCAGATGTGTGGTGTATTTTTATTACAGTCCTTGGGCCTTGAGTTGTTTGCATTGATCAATTTTTGTTATCATTCTGTTCTGATGAATGGGAGTTTGTCCTCCAGATAAACTCTTTGTAGTGCAGGTGGTCTCTTAATGTTCCTCTTCTCCACTTAATAAGAGGTTAATAAATGCATTATAGAGCTGTGGAAATCTACATCCAATGAGGAAAACCCAGAATAACTCAGATGTTGTTTCTGAGGGAGAGGTGAGGGGATGTTGAAACAGTGTGTGCAAAGGAAACCTTCTTCTGATTTGGATTTATGTGGAAGACCTTTTCATAGTTTGTTAGGATTTTCTTGAAAAAAACCCAAATGTCTCTATTTTCTCCAGCTGTAGCATCATTCCCATATGAGGAGGAGTCAAGACCTCGGGCACCTTCTTCCAAAGCAGCAATTCCTCCTCCAGTGTATGATGAGCCAGAGAGACCTCGTTCCCCCACAGGACCCAGCAACTCCTTCCTCGCCAACATGGGGTAAATAAATGAGTGATTCCTGCACATTTTGTGGGAAAAGACATTGGAAGGTAGTGGAAACCAAAAGCTGAAATAGTTTGTCAGGAGAGAAGAGCACAACCCATTGCATGTGTGTGGTTAGTATGAGTTCACAGAGTCCATATTGACAGGATACAGGAAAAAAATGTGGATGGACAGGATTGAGGGAAACATCTCAGGTGGTTGCATCAAGGCTGTGCTTTTAAGCCACATGCCAGCATAAAGTGTTTATGGCCTGTACAAAGGAAATTGAACATTGAAAATGCAGGTGGCATGTTAGTTCTTCTAGGTTTCTTTCCCAACTTTGTCTTAAATTTGCTACATACCAGCAAATCGATATTTCAAATAATTTCAGCTCTGCTTTGTTCAAACAATTCAGAGTGTATTTGCATGAATGCAGCAGCTGTGGCTGCAAATCTGCCCATTTACTTTCCTGCCCTGTATGTGATGCTTGTGTTTGCTACCATGGCAACAAAGGGAAGGTGAATCTATAGCTAAAAATAGGTTAGAGACCTCATTTTTGGGTTTGATGGAGTTTTTTTAATTGTCCTGAAAAAGATAACTGAACTTGGTACTGTTGGACCAGCTTGTGCATTGTTACAACCTCTAATTAGCAGTACCATGGAACCCTCACTTCACTGAAGTAAGGGCTAAAATTCTGACCTAACCTGCCTTACTTTGACCACACAATTGGCTCTTTCTTCTATAACTTAGTGTTTACCTAGCCACACTTTTTAGCCTTTTTCTTAGAAAAAAAAATCATGTAACTTGTAGAAGCTCCTGTACTTTCTGCCCCTGTGTAAGGAAATTTTAGAAGGTAGAATATTTGAGCACTCAGGAGAAATGCAGCGTTAATGTTTTGTGGAAGAAACCTTTATGAACTGATTTTTTTTTTCTCGTTGCAGGGGGACAGTAGCTCACAAAATCATGCAGAAATATGGTTTCAGAGAGGGCCAGGGGCTGGGCAAACATGAACAGGGGCTCAGCACAGCACTGTCAGTAGAGAAAACTAGCAAGAGGGGTGGCAAGATCATTGTTGGTGAATCTACAGAGAAAGGTAATTGTGTCCTGCACCAAGTGTGTGGGAAATTAAGCTCTTGGGTTTCTGTTTACCCTCTGTCCTTGTTGAAAACATTGGAGTTGGAAAAATTACTCATATTTGTTCTTGTGGAAATTTACAATATTTATCTTTTTGTAAAGTGATCCCGTATGCGTTTTTTTTTAGCTCATCATCCCTTTCCTCCATCAGTTGTCCTCCTTTAGTGCTGGGGAAGCCTCTTCACTTCCAGGGCTGATCCTGCTCTGCCCTGATGGCTTTTCCCTGTCTCATCCTGTTGATATTGCTCTCATTTCCCTGCTCTTGTCTGATCTTGAGACAACATCCAGGCTTCTGAGCACAAGTGGTGGAAGTCAGAATACTTTTAGTCTTGTAGTTCTTATGATACAATTCTGAAGTTAGGAATTATTTCCCTCAAAGGAGTAGTACATTGTCAGTGTTACTGCTTAATTCACACCACTGGAATTGTTTTTTCTGCTTACTGTCATTCCATGTAGCTGCAAGTTGTGAATAACTGTTCCTCACCAATATGAAATTACATTTTGTGGCTTTTATTCCATTGTTTGATCAATAAGATTCTCATAAAAGTCCCTAATTGAGCTTTAATCTTAAATTATTCCACAATTCACTGTTCTGTCTTCATACAGAAACGGGCAAGAAGGCAGATTCCAACCCCTTGACTGAGATACTGAAATGCCCAACTAAAGTGGTCTTACTGAGGGTGAGTTGGGAGTAAGGAAATGTGTCTTCATGTTGAAATGTTCAAAACTCTGCACAGTTCAAATGGCTCTGGCCTGCACCCACATGGTGTTCTGTGCTCTGGAGAAATTATGTGACTTCCTGGGGTACAAGCTGTGACTTTAAATCAACACTGCTTTAAATTGTGCAGTTCCCTTGTCTTAGGGACAGGGACCTGCCTACTCCTGTAGCTCTTAAGCTTTTAAAGTATTTGTGGTCACAATTCACAGAACATCTGTGATTTGTCTACACAATCACCTGCGCAGACTCCATCCAGTGAGTTGGGTTTATTCTTTGACTTTTAGAACATGGTCGGTGCTGGGGAGGTGGATGAAGACCTTGAAGTTGAAACTAAGGAGGAATGTGAGAAATATGGCAAGGTTGGGAAATGTGTCATCTTTGAGGTAAGAGACAATCTGTCTCTCTTTTTGGCTGCTCTGAAAGTAAACTGGGCACTCATCCCTCACAACTGGAGTGTTACTGCCTAAGAGGGACATACATAGAAGATTTCTCAGGGTCCTTTTTCTGCGTTGGAATTCTGGATTTTCTGTACCTGTAAGATACAAGCAACTAATAATAGCAACTGTGCAAAAATCACTTGAGTATTTTGTTTTTAGAACCTTCTTATTTCATTCTTTCACTGCCGTTGTAAAGAACAGCAATTGAAAACAATGTTCTTGCTACTGTTCTGATTACTTGTGGCTTGGGGTTTTTGTTTTGTTTCAGATCCCTGGTGCCCCTGATGATGAAGCTGTAAGAATATTTTTAGAGTTTGAGCGAGTTGAATCTGCCATCAAAGGTAGGATCCTAAATCGTATCCTGTGAACCTCAGAGTTAACTTCTGTAGAGAGATTAAACAGTCTCACTGGTCATGCTGTTCAGTTAAAGAGATGTTTATTTTATTGAATTGCTGCTTGCTGATCTGCTCTTCGTTTCAATTCCAGCTGTTGTGGATCTAAATGGAAGATATTTTGGAGGCAGGGTGGTGAAGGCTTGTTTCTACAACCTGGACAAGTTCAGAGTGCTGGATCTGGCGGAACAAGTTTGATTTTAAAAATCTAGCTCGAGGTGTCATTGTTTTGGCAATCACGTTTTCAGCAGTAGTCTGGGAATAAAGAAGAGAAAAGTAGCTTTCCTAGCAGACTGGAAACGAGCCTCATTGAATGGATTTTACACATTCATTGTGACTTACGTTTTTTTGTAATATAAAGCCCTTTGAAAGTAAGATTCACGTCTGTGTGGTTTTAAATTGCACATTTCTGCTTTCTGCTCTGGGGATCCTGGTGTTTTTGAGCTTTCAGATGACTTTGCTCTGTTGAAAACCCACTGCCGAGGAGATGCTTTGTCTGTATTCCTGCTTTCTTTGTTCTGGTGCTTCATCATGGAGTTCCTGTGCTGGATCCACAATAAGTGTGAAGCTTTGGACAAGGACTGTGTGCTATGGTCTTCTCTTCCCTGATGGTCTTTCCTAGAGTTAGAGCTTTGCTCTCCTGAGTCCTCATCTCTGCACACCAGTGATTTGGGTCATTGGACAGTTGCAGCTGGTTTGTTCTCCCGACTCCAGGACAAAGCTTCCGTGCTAGAATGGAGACTGAAATAACAAGGATTGAGTTTGTCTTCACAGATCAAAAGAAAATCCATGTCTAATCCAGGGAAATGGAAAGAGGAGGGAATTTAATGGACTCTTAGCAAGAGCTCTTGGGCAGTCTGTGCTGGGAATATCCAGGGATAACTGATTTCAGGTCATTAGGGAGAAGGGAAACTCTTTCCTGTTATCTGGCCAGCTGTCAGAATCTCACTTCTCTAACTCACACATAGGCAACTAACTTTGATTAATCATTTCAAACCTGACATTTGCTCTTTCTGTTTATATTTCTGTATTTGAGGTCAAATACCATCAGGATTAGGCTTTCTTTTCCTTTTGGGAAGGAGTGCCTGTGGAAGTTTTCAAAGTAGGAGGCCATGGAGAGAAGTTCTCATGAAAATCTGAAGAGTTGACAAACGAAACTACTAAACACTACTACTCTTGATGTAAAATACTACACAGCTCTCTGCTCCTGGGTTTATGTTTTGTTTGGGAACAGTATGTAACAGAGTTGGCAAGAGGTGACTCTGCAATGGTGGCAGTTGTCTCTGTGCCCCATTGCACCCAGAATTGTGCAGATACTAAAGTGACTGTCAGCCCTGAGAGGCATTTTAGCTGTTTGAAAGCTGATGCTGGATGTCTTCTTCCTGTTACACACATGGACTGGGGGGAGGGGGGACAGACCTGTAGTTCAATGCTGTGAATATCTCCAGTTCATGCCCTTCTGCTGAGTTTTAGCTGCAGATTTCTATGACAAACCCGTGGGTCTTGTGTTCTGCTTATTTTGTCTGCTTGTATTCCACCAACCTCTGTACAAACATTTGCTTGTAAAACTGAATTTTTAAAAAAAGCTGGTATTTTATCTGCTGTGTGTTGGTTTCCTTACTCTGCTCTTGTGTTGTGCAAGGCAGTCCCTCAGAGTTGGGCACTGCTGCACCACGAGTTGGCACTTCTCTGTTTCAGCCTTCCTGCAGCAGAGGTAAGGAACAGGCCTGACATGAAAACCACAGGACTCGGGGCAAAAAACAGAATCTAGATTCTGTTCCTGCCTCTGCTTTTCATTTTCTCTTTGACTTTGAGCAATACTTTAAGGCCTTTGCTACTGTGTAGTAAAACAAAGAGATTAGCCTGGTATGAATTAGCATAGGTTTGCTTGTAGTACTCAAATAATTTGAGTGGGTGCTGTAGAAAGTTTAACCACTGGTAACAGATTGTGATCTGAACTTAGCTTGAAATATGACTTGGATTTAAGCAAAATGATTTATTTATGGCTCTTATTTCAGCAAATACCTCTCGAGTGACTAGGCTGTAAGCATTTCCTGAGGTACCCAGGCTGATTTTTGTGCCTTTAACCAGCTGTTGTGCTTTTTAGCCCCAGCTTCTGAGCTTCCAGTCTGATAACTTGCAGGTTTTCTGTCTGCTGAGAATGGCTTTATTGGCAACTTTTGAACCATTTTATTCTGAGAATCCTTACTGTGGTTGAAGACAGGAGTAAAGTTTATCCATGAAAATGTAGGGGAGAGGGTTTGTTCATTTATTATTTTGTGTAAGAGATTGATGCTATAAAATGAGGTGTTTTTCTGTACCATAGGGACGCTGAAGCAAGCACTGGAGCACTGGACTACTTGTCTGAGGTCCATCTGTGTGGTGGGTGCTGTACAAACATGTGACAGTGGAGCCAGGTGTGTAAGCAGGTGATGCAAACAAACCTGCACAGGTGTGGAAACTTGCAAAGGTTCAGGCACTCACTGAGCTCTGTGCTCAGACTTCACTGGTCTCCTTAGCAGGAAGATTTTTGCAAATGCACCTTCTCCCTGTTCTTCCACACTCTAAGTGTGTTGGCTCAGACTTCCTCAGGCATGTTTGTATCTTGCATGCCTTTAAAAATTTGGTTCTGAATTTACTTCTCTGCTGGAGAATTGGCCTCCTCTGGAATCTTGCCACTGACTTCTATTTCTAGTAGTTTCTCAAATAACATTTTATCTAACACCTCCAGCTCTTCCTGCTTGCACATCTCTTGTTCTCTGTTTCATCAGTGCCCTTTCCAAAGGCTCAGCAGCACTTAATTTGGAGCTCTTTGCAGCTGACAAGTTTTATTTGGTAGTTTGTCTTTACACCCTGGAAATTGTGCAGCCACCTCATTCTGTCATCTACGTACGTGGTGACTGGTCTGAAGCAATAATATTTTTGTTTCTCTTTTTGTGTGGTGCCCCAAAAGGTTCTGACTTCACAGAAAGTGAAGAGGATGATGGGCTGTTAAGAACATTTACTTCACGTGCAGTCCAGGATTGGTTATAGTGCTTCAGGTGAAGCACTGGGTGTTTTTCAGGTATGATTTCCTAAATTTAAGTTTTAATTCCTTGGCTTAAGCACCTGTATGAACAGTGTGATTTTCTAATGTGTTGAATAACTGCATCTCCTCTTGGGCTAAGTATGAACTGTTCATTGCTTCTGGGAATTCAGATTAGATGCCTGCTTAGAGAGATTTGAGTGTCCTGAAGCCACCAGGAAGCTGAGAGGGACGTGTAGGACGTGTCACCGTGGAGCTGAATGAGGTGCCTGGTGCATTAACAACCCTGAGGTCTTAAGAATAGGGATTTGCACAGTGGCATCACCATTCGCTGCCTTGTTCTCTTCCTAAATCAGAACACTGGCTACTATTTTAATAGTGAGGATTTAGTGACTTGATTAATTTCTTAATTGCTAAAACCCCAAGGTGCTGTTGCTGAGCAGTAGCAGCTGGTTCAGAGCCCATTGTTAAGCACATAGGTTATGATTTATTTTCTCACCTGCACTATTCTACACTTAACCTATGTTGAATTTCACCTGTCAGTTTATCACTTTGCACGTTCAGTGTCAGACTAAAATCTGATGTGAGATGAAACTTGCAGGGAACATTTTTAATATTATTATTGTCAAAATCTTAAGTTTGCTCTGCCACTGAAAGGTGAGAGTTGTTGCCCTGAATAATTTTGTCTGAATAGCCATGGAGGGAGGGAGGCAGGTGCAAGAATATTTTGCCCAAGGACATGCAGAAGGTGGTTTGGAGAGTTGGGATTACACCCTATTTCCCTGAACTTGCAACTCTGCAACCAAAACCCACATTCCTGGTGGAGCTGCTTTTTGTTGTGGCAACAGAAAATGGTAAAATCTCTTAGCCTTGAGCTTTGGGTTCTGAAGCAAGTTCAGAAGTTGTAATTCATGTGCTGCAGTCCATGTAAGTGGTTGCCTTAGGAGGGGCTTATCTGAAACCAGGCTCCTGTGGGAGATTGGAGTGTCAGGGTATTTTACCTTCTGTGCAAAGAGAAAATATGTGTTGTAGCCTCACACAGTTTTCTTAAAGATAGAAAGACAAATATGGAAGCTTTCAAAAAGGATCTTAAACTCTCAAATCCTTCTTGCTCCACCACAAGCAGAAGTCTAATGGGGGAGTGAGAACTTTCAGTCCTCACAGCACTTGGTACAAGAGGCCATGACCAAGACTAAGATTCACCCTATGTTACATTGAATTAAATCCCATATCGGTGCCTGGGATTGTTCCTCCTTAGGTACAGGACTTGGCACTTCTTGTTGAGCTCCATGATGTTCCTGCCAGCTTCTTCCCAGCCTGCCCAGGTCCCTCCGGGTGGCAGCATGACCCTCTGAGGTAGCTGCCACTGCTCCCAGTCTGTGTGATCTGCAAATTTGCTTTAGTGAAGGTGTTAAAGAGGACTGGACCCAGCGCTGGCCCCTGGAATTCACCACCAGCTCCTGGTCTCCAGCCAGACCCTGAGCCACTGATCACTGGCACCAGGCATTCAGACAGGTTTTGGTGTCTGCTCCTGCAGCTCCAAGAGCTTCTTTGTGAGGAGGATCTTAGAGATGACAATGTTTGCAAGTCTTACAGAGGTCCAGGTAGACAATACCCACAGCTCTCCTCTGCCAGGCCAGTCTTTCATTGTGGAAGGTTAAGCTGGGCAAGCATGACTTCCCCTCAGTGAATCCAAGCTGACTGTTGCTGATTTTCTTGTCCTTCATAAAAACAGTGTTAGATTAGCTACTCCCAGAATTGTAGAAATGATTTAAAATTCTCTAACACTTGAGAGAGACATAAAATATCCACACAGCTGAGGTCCATGTATGGATGCATCTGGCACTGGTAATGTGTTCCTAGCTGGATGCAAGACTAACCCTATTCCTTTTCCCAAAAAAGCAGGAGCTGATTGTGATCATGGAGGATTTAGTGTTGCTTACAAGCACTTTCTGTCACAGTTAGTTCAGTACTGTAATGATTAAGTCCTTAGGAGAATTCCTGCCTTTAGGTGATGAGGCAATTGTCCTTAAAGACAAACAGGGATTGATTGTGTCTAGCAGTGTGTGCTCTGTTAATTTGCTGTCGCTGAGCAATGAGAGGACACAGCCAGGAAATGTGGATTCCTGCTTTGCTGCTCTGGGGAGATGTAGGTTCTTCACAGGTGGGTTTGAAAGTAGCACCTGGGCTTGGGAATTTTTTTGGTATGTCATCTAGACAGCACTTTCAATAAAAGACTTCCTCTTGCCCTGTGATACTTGATTTTATTCAAGCTGCAGAGCAGTTAAAGAACAATCCCAGTGCCGTTATCATCTTTCAGTTTGGTTTATCCTCACAAATCACCACTGGCTT